TTAAATATGCTCACTTTACAGTGTGTGGGCCAGATCTGGACCACAGCCGTTAAACTTACACACATTACAGTATGTAGGCCAGAGCTGGGCCAGATCCCTTGGTTCTACTCACTTTACAGTATGTAGGCCAGAGCTGGGCCACATCCATTAGTTGTACTAATTTTATAGTGTGTGGGCCTCATCTGGGCTGCATCCATTAGTTCTTCTCGTTTTACAGTATATGGGCCAGAGCTAGGCCGGGGACCCAGCCAGAACTAAACCAAGGATGTGATAAATTTTGCTAACTGGGCAAATCGCACCAAAGGGTCTCATTCGTTTGTGCTGTTAAAATAAACATTAGAGCCGGTGTAATTCTCCAGTTATAAAGCTATGAAGGTATGAATTATATGAAACACTGACTTTCGCCAGGTAAACAGTAGGTAAACAGTGATTTGCCCCGCCCCGCCCCGCCCGGTTCAAATGGTCTACTACCGCCACTGGGACCAGGACTGGCCACCCAGGGTCTATGGCCATCCAAACGTTTGTGTTGGTTCACATTTGTCCCGTCGGTGTACTTAGAGGCTTCAGCTGCTCCGGCTACTACTTCCTGACTACGCAGACGAGGTCCAATCTGGCTGCCAGATTCTGTAAATATATAAACATCTGTTTATTGTTTTGTAGTTACTGATGGTTTCTGGGCGCCTTTGTCATGTGTTCTCCAGTGAGCGAGGGGGACGTTAGTAGGGCGGCTCCGCTGAGGGGAATCAAATGCGAAGAATAGCAAATGAGCTAATTGCGTCACAAATAGAGCACCCAATCAGAAATGCAAGTAGACTGTCTACTTTGCATATCTCCCAGTGTACGCGTCAAATAAAAAGAAAGTAGGTGCTTCTAACTGGTTATGCTTTTATTATATAAATATTACATTTTAGAACTAATTGTACTTTTTTGTGTTTCCAGGTAGAAATATATGGAGTTTTGTTTTTCCTAACCATGGACGAGAAACATAGCCATGTTTTATGCATGAACCGGGTTGTAGTTCACGTATTTAATGCTAGGTGGCACTATCACACTGCGTATTATACGGTTTGACTCACTCTAATGGTCTGCCTTATTTCATGAAGGGTTTCGTGCTTCACTAATGTGTTTTAACAGGCAAATACACAAATAATTGTATACAGTGAGGCGACCCCTCAAACGATCCCTTTACTAAATTTAGTTGCACCACAAACCTATAAGTAGTAATGTGACCAAGGTAAACACTGTCGCTTTTACACGACAGTAACAAATCAGACAACGCTGCCATGGAAACAAACAAAACATATGTTCTATGGGAACATTTTCTTAAAAATTAACAATATATGGATCCTCATACTTTTCTAAACTGTTTTTTGGCTAATGAATGTTTTTTGTTTTGCTGACAACACACAAACACTTCAGACACTCTGCGATACATGGAAACACCAAAAAATGGGGTGAGGGGTGGCGAGGCAGTATCACATCATATCCATATTTAACAATATACCATAGCGATTAAATTTGCAAGAGATATTAAATCACTCTCGCCTTACAAAGCTTTGACGAAAGCAATAGTATTTGGCCAATTCTGAATTGTTGCAACTTTCGCGTTATGAACTCTTCCTGTGGCCCACTCCAAAATGAGAACATCTAAAATAAATAGCAGTGCCAAGATGAGGACAGCTAAATATGTGGCACAAACCAGCCTTTCAAAATAGACTTTTTGGCAGTGGTGGACGAAGTACGCAAACCATGTACTTGAGTTAAAGTAGAAATACCCAAGGTAAAAAATTAGAAAAGTAGAAATCCTTCCTTTAGGCCCCCACTTGAGTAAAAGTACAAAAGTATTTGCCTTCAAATGTACTTAAGTATCAAAAGTGAAAGTACTAAAAGATTAATTATGGCTCTAATGTCCTGTTACCATTTTTGTAAGAAGACTCTTGCTTTATCAACTAATTTTAGGTGAAAATATTTTAGTGTCACACGTGTAACACCAATCTTTTAATCGAATGTCATTAATTAGTCTGACGCTGATGTCTATTAAAATTATCAAAAGCACAAAACACTGAAGGCAAACAGTTTCCATTAGGTAGAACCAAGTGGCCATAAAATAACCTTTTGCAAACAAGCAAAGTTTTGGTATAAGATTTATTTGCAACTTAGTTTACATAAAAAATTGTTTCAATTTAAACAAGTTTAAATTGAATAAAAACTTGCTTTAAACACAGGTTCACAAATGAGATATACTTTACTATATTGCATCTGTAGGTCTCTGTTCATAAACATAAACTAGCAAAAATAAATTTTCTATAAAATGAAAGTGTTCTTATAAATTCAGAATAAAGACACATGCCAGTCACAACTACATATGTGTACATATTTCTATATTGTGGTCTATTTACACAAAGTTAGGTTAGTTCCATCGTTTATGTTGGAACAGACTCTCCCAAACTTTTACGCTGCTGCACTGACGTTGAACCGTATGCTTGCAGTGGTTGCTTTGTCCAACAGGTCAAAACAAGCTCAAAACTAAGTGTGCGCTGTGCCCTTATTGGTGTGCTTGCTTTGTGCTTCTTTCATTTTGACATGTTACATTTTTATACACACATAAGCCAAAAGGAACGACAGATTTCACATAATGTAGTGGAGCAAAAAGTAAGATATTGGACTTTGAAATGTAGTGGAGTAAAAGTAAAAAGTCACCCAAAATGAAAATACTTCAGTAAAGTACAGATACACGAAAAAAACTACTTAAATACAGTAACGAATTACATTTACTTCGTTACTGTCCACCACTGTTTTTTGGAAGCTGTCTAAGCTGCCATTAGAACTCTTTTTTGCTGCAAATTAAAGGGTTATTCCACCAATCTTTCAAAATTTCTGTGCAGGGAGTTCCAGTAGCAGCTGGTTACAGACTGTAACTATATGGACTTCGGGACCTGAAGAATTCAGAGGTACTTTATGTATGACTGGCTGAAGTGTTGTTTTTCTTTTTCGGACAGATTAAAGGATGAGCTAACAGGTCTGTCGATGCAATGACTGCTCTTCATGCTACAGCATCTTAACAGTCCTGCAACTTATACTGGAATTCTGTTTGTAACACCATAGTGCCAGAGCTGCTGCAGGCCAGACTGTTCCAGCTGTTGCTGCCAGATCCCATCTGCCGCTGGATTTCCTGAAAAACGGGACAGCAGGTGCAGCTAGGAAAACACACATCAGACCCCTGGACCCTCAATACTAGCATACCACAAGGTTACACGCTCTCACCCCTTTTCTTCAATCTGTATGTCAACGACTGTGTTTCTAAGGAACCAGCTGTAAAGATCCTGAAGTTTGCAGATGACACCACTCTGTGGACAGTCTGTGGCGGCACATAACAAAAACACCACTGGATGAGTGAGGAATCCGACCGGCACCCTCTGCATTAAAGGCTGGGTTAGGTCAGGAGTCGACAACCCAAATGTTAAGAAGAGCCATTTTGTCCTTTCAACAAAAATCAAACCACCTCAGGAGCCACATTAAGGCCTAATCCCATTTCTTCTTTTTATCCCTACCTCTTGTTTTCGAGTAGCACCCTAACCCCTTGGAACTACAAGGGGTAGGGGTTGAAATCTTGCCCTACGAAATGGGACAACCCTCAAAAAAAAAAAACATTACTTCATTAACAGGCTATTAGCGGTACTCTGTAGGTGACTCAGCCCATCTTCAGTGATCGCAGAAAAGGGAAAAGTTCAGCGACCTCACTGCTGGGCTTTAGTTACATTTAGGGCATCATATGCTTTCAAAGAGCGACAATTATTTATTATCGCCCGCCGCTAATTCTTTGGTGATACGAAGCTGAAGTCAGCTGTTCACCAGCTGCTTGTTCGAATTTTCCTGTTCCACCTTAAATGGTGCAGCAGTTACATTCTGGCACTTTAGGCGTCAGATACTGCTGGACTACTTTAAGTTACTATAACTGTAAAAGTTAGCTAGCTAGCTACTGAGACATTAGCATGCTATCAGCGATTTTTTATGCTTGTTATGAAGAAAACAACCATAATACACTGAAACGACATTAAACTAAGGTAATATGATGGTTATTGTAATTTTTTAATGGAGAAAATACTTACATTTGTGGGTTTTTTAGTCGCTTGCGCAGCCATCTTGCCGGTTTTTCTTTTTTGCTCATAACACTGTTTGGAGTGTGCCTCTGAAAAACCTCCATTTGGAGGGCCATGTAGCCTTAACACTTCACCCTACCCCTCTATCTCAACAAAAATTGGGACACCCTACCCCTAGACGTGAACACACAAAACTGAGGGCTAAGGGCTAAGTGTAGGGGCAAGGGGTGAAATGAGATTGGGTCTAAATATCCAATATGTCTCCGTATGTGCTAATGTCCTAGTATAGGCTAAAAATATAAACGAAAGGACTTACTTTGCTCTGCTTTAGGCTTTAGCTATAGCCGCTTTCCTCCCATTTCCGACAGGAAACTTTTCCTCAGAAGTTGAATGGTTTCTTGTAAAATGTCTCTCAACGTTCAACTGTTTTACGAGGCTGAAGTCAGCTTCTCATTCGCCAGCTTCTTGTTCAAATTTCCCCGTTCCACCTTAAATTCTGCCTGAGGCACTAGAACGTAAATGCAGCACCATTTAGGGAATGGGAGAATTTGAAAAAGAAGATGACTTATGGTTCGCAACTTTTTAGTGTTTGATAGTTTGTCATTGCAGATTTAACATACAAGGAAACCAACAGCAGTGCTTATACATGCAAATAAGTCCATTCGTCTCCAGATGTTCGTCTTGAATCTTGTCTTTTCATTACATTACAAATAATTTGCTTTAAAAGTATCAAGTCCTCACAGTGAGAAAAAAGAAATCCTGTATAGAAAAAAAAAGATGCATCGATAATTGTTTTATAATCGCATCGCAGCCCTCTGAATCGTAATCGAATCGGATCGTGAGGTACCTGTATTACAGAAAACTGCTCACAGCTTTACAAGGACACAATTCACCAAGACGTTTGTTAAAAGATTCTTTTATTTTTCTCAGGTTTAATGAATACAAAAGTGGCACTTGTAAGAAAAAAATAAAGCCAAAAAGTAAATAGAGTTACATATAGACTAGCTATAATATTCTGACTATTTCTTTTTAACATAACTCTTAAAAGCGAGGACGCAGCCTCTGCCATTTCAACCATTTCCATGTAGGACAAACCATGTCAAACACATGATTCGGAAGCGGCCTCTAATCACCAAAAAGAAACAAACTGACAACTAATATTCTTCATACTTTGCACCAAACTATTTTGGCAGTCAACTGACCTTTGACAGGTACTCTGGAAAAAAAAAGATCAACTTTTTTTAAGGAGGAAAAGAGGGGGGGGAGATAGGCATGCGAAACGAGTAATGGATATTAAATATGTAGACAAAGTGAAGTGTAGTTTAAAATGTCAAAAAGAAAAAAAAAACTGGTCATTCATCACGCACTGCGTAATGATGGTCATTTTATATTAAACGGAAAAAAAATTAATTTGAATTATTTGCTATAGAATAAACAGGCAAGTCTGAAAAAAAAACAGAGGAATTAGTATTTGCTTTGGCGTGTAAAGTCAATGTCAAATTACTTTACCACCCTTTACTTATTTATTTTCTAGTCAAAACAGCCATTAAGTACAAGTTATTTATTTTTCTGGATATATTTTTAAGGAGATTAGATATAAGATAATCCACTTCCATAAGGAAGGAGAAAGTCAAAGGAAAACTAGAGTTAAAACAAATTAAAAGACTGAATGAATGATGACAAAATGAGACTCCTAACAACCATGCAAGACCTGGTAGACCACCAAATGTGTCAGATTTCTTACAAAAACTGGTGGACATACTTCATACTGACTTTTTATTTTTACTATTGTATTAGTTGTTGAAGCTTCTGTATACTTTTCTGGTACAAACATGCATTTTTGACACAGAAAAATTAATAACTTGTACTTGCCATTTACATTGGAAATTAAATAAAGAGTGGTTTCTGACTTTTGCACAGTAATGTATGTAAAGCAGGAAACATTTTATGGCCGCTAAACAAACGACTCATTCTACGTCAGAAAGAGCATAAAATCTAATACTAGAGACCTTTAACTATACACATACTGAGAATCTTACTTTAATTAGAAAAGACAGAAGGAAAAATGCATAAATCAAAATGTTGCACACGGGGAGAAAGCCTGACCAAGCATGATTTTTTGATACGCCCTCTCTCTACGATTTTCAGGGAGGGGAAAATGCTGTACTGCTCCGGAAGGAAGGTACATATGCTGTCTTTGCACAAAAATACCCCAAAGAGGTTGTTAAATATAGGCCTAGTTGCATACAGATTACATCACTGCAGTGTAAAGAAAAGCTATATGATTGGCATCGTAATGAGAACAGCTGTAAGTGGATCACTATACAGACGATCATCTACCTCAGTCCTGTTAAGAAGCTTTAGACATCTGTATTACGGTTGAATTAATAAAAAAACAAAAATCATCCGAGCCATGTATACTGCATTTAGATGCCTTTCCAGAGGCTGTGCTTCAAAGCTAGGTGCCAACATATCTAAAGAAATTTGTTAAAAAAATATATTGAGTATACTGTTCCAGCAGCAGGACTTTCTACTGATAAAAATAAACAGAATCTAAGAATGAACAGTATAAAGATAGTGTCTGTAATAGATACCAGCTATCGGAAATATGCATGTAAGCAGAGTATTTTTTTTTAAAAATACAAATAGTGTATGAATAGTTTGTATGCATACGTCAGGGTGGGGACTGTATATTAAAGCATTTGAGTATGTCCTTGGTCCTAAGCACAAGATGGCTTAGCAAGGGTTTAGACATACCAAAACAGTGGATACTGCATGACTTAAGTTTTTCTAAGGATTAACTCATTTAACAATACTTTTTAAATGTCTCTCACTCAGTGTTTACAAAAATGTGTATCACTTAAAGAAAGCACTCCACAATTTCAAAACACAAACAAAAAACGTGACTCAATCACAGAATCTGCAATTTCTCAAACCTATTAATGCGAAACGGCTTATCTAATTTACACATAACTTGCAACACATGAGAGCAAATATCTACTCGGGGACCAAAGTGTGCCACAAAAAACACAGCCAAAATGGTAAAAGACTTCTTTGGTAGGCCTACCTGATAGGAAATTCCACTGATTTGAATAATTTTGCATACTTTAATGATTAGGATGTAAACAAAGTCATTCAGAGTGGATGACTGAAATGATGCAGTTTCGACAAAAACTTCAGAATTGTTCACAGTGGTGGTGACAGGAACCAGACATCTGTAACCTCTAAAAGGTACCGTACGTTATCATTTCATTACATAAAATTATATAAAACTGCCTGATGCCTGGATGCTATTTGGACTGTTTTTTTGCTAAGATTTTTGGTATAAAACACACTTTTAAGGCAAGAGTCCCGCCCCCCCAAAAAAAAACAGAAAAACAAAAGTTTCACATTTTTCTTTTCAAATCACGCCCTTCTGAATGACTATTGCTTACGTCTCAGTGATTTAATTATGCAGAAAACTAGAAAATTCTGTGGAATTCCTATAACGCCATCGGCTATCACCAAATTGCTTGCAAGTCGTACAAGATACCAACACCAGATGCTACTCAAAATTGTTCATGCCCTGCTATTGTTCGAATTTCCCTTTTTTTTTTATTTTTTTTTTTCACACCATGTCCCAACTAGCAAGACAATCCTCTAAAACCATGTGACAAAAGGCTGAAGTTGTCCCTCTAACAGGAGCATCAAGAAAACACATATTTCCTTCAGTACAGGGGACACTGCTGCATATTCTAGCCAACTACATCCCACACATCAAAGAGTATGGCCGAACACGACCGCCAATCAATCGATCTGAAAAAGTTCTTGTAGTGTTTCAGGTTTAGGCTACAGAGAAAGCACATTACACATCCACATGTAGCATAACGGTCTACATTACCAACATTTACTAAACAGCAACATCCAGATGCTGGCAGAATCCCCAAAACCTTTTTTTCCACTTTGGTCAACGGAGTATTGGGACATTCTGTTTAGTGAATGCATGGACACTGTTCATGGGTGTCATCCAACCATGTGACCCTCTTCTGCAAAAGATACACTAAAGTAAGTGATGACTTATTCCACTTAAGGAGATATGAAAGGAAATTTCAGTTTCCAGCACTCATCTCCTTGGTAAATAAGTGAATAATTAGCATTACAGAGGAGAAATTTGACTTCTGGAAACATGTAGGTCACATGGAGATGAAAGAAGATAAAAGAAGCACAGTTGAAAGTGACATTCTGGAACACAGAGCTAAAGCACTTGTCTCGACTTTGGTTGTCCACCCTTATTATGTCCTTTTCAAACTGCATCCTAATAGTTGCATGAGGTACCAATGCTCTAAGGACATTCAGGGGGTAGTCCTATATGAATATGATGTGAGATCCAGAAAAGATCAGATCTTTTCTGCAAAAAGAAGGTGTTACGAGCAAAATTTCCTATTTCCTTGACTACGCATGGAGATTTTCAACTATTTCATTAAAGTGAAAACTCACTGATTTTCAAAACGTTCTGCATAATTAAAAGCTGAAGATGTCATTCAGAGTGATGTGAAGTGTGTCATTCTAAAGAAACTTGCCCAGACAGAATAATTTATACCAATGTTGACAGAAACGAGACATTTGCAGAGTTTACTACCTCTTAAAGCTCCCTCACAGCAAGTTTTTTTAAAATAGTCTCCAAAGAACATCATATTTACTACTCTTCACCATTATCAGCATTACATAAAAAACTTGGAAGACTTGTGTATGTTCACTGGTGATAGTAAATAAAATGGCTATATTTGTGTTGTAGACATTGTGAGCCCAGTTCCCATCACCACCACTGTAAAGAAATCTGAGTCAGTAAGATTCTCCACAATTAACCATTTCACATCAAACCATCACGTCTTAACTATTGAATTATGAAGAAATTATGAAGAAATTTTGAACAAATCAGTGGAATTCCCTTTTAACCAGAGAGCACTTAAATCACTGGTATCGCTTCGCCGCACAGACAGGTATAGAACTAACCAACTTCTAATGGCACATAACTGAGCTTCTACATCATTTAAGCTCTTCATTCTACAGTGCAGTCCACTGGTTCCCAATCCTGGTTCCTGCCTTGCAAACTTGATCATTTTCTCTGCTCTTAAATACACCAACTTCAACTCAGGAAGCACTTGTTAATTGAGTAGTAGGGGCAGTTGTGTTAGATCAGGGAAAACCCACTTTTTATGTTTTGTTGACCTACAGTTCCTTGTTTTACTCATTATAGTAATTTTTACTCACATTATTTGTTCCTTTAACTGTTCAGTGCCTTTATTTTCTATTGTTCTCTGATGCTGGCTTTTTATAAAGTATTTTAATGTAATAAAGGAAAGTAATTAGCATCACTATGAAATATGTAAGGCATAAGTAATCCAATATTGGGAACCACTGGGGTAAGTGGTTCTTTTACAGAACTTAGTCTCTGGGTTTTCTACAAGCCTGACTCAGTAAGGCTACATTTTCACTGACAGTTTTAAGCCACAGTTTCTAAATTCAGCAGAGGTCTTGTTGCCAGATTATGTAAGAAAAAACTGTGAGGAAAAAAAAAGATACTTATACAAATCAAAAGCCTACTAGAACATCTGAAGATGCAACACTCAAACACTGCCTGCTTAGCAAAACAAAAAAAAACAACAAAAAAGTGGAACTGTAATTTTGACACATTTTCCACATACTCACAAAAAACAACACCCAGACTTGGTGTGAAAAAGCCTTAACACAGGAAAAACCAACCATGGTTCAACAGGTTTCTTTGGGGAATACTTGGCCTTTATGAAGTAGACTCAGGACTTCCGGAGCCACTGCCTTTCGCCTTGATCTGCAACCAGGTCTCACCCAACGCCTGGGCAAAGTGATCATCCACAGATCCCGTGATGGACACAGAGTTAGAGGCCGGCTCTGGCTCCTTGTAGATCTTGCCTAGGCTGCGACGGAAATGCTCTTCTATCACAGGGTCACAGACAGTGTTAGCTGGAGGCAAACAGGCATTTGAGAATACTTGAATTATTGTCATGCTTCAGAAAACCTTAATCACCTTCAAACACTTAGGCCAGAACTAAAATAGTTTTAATCATCAAATTTATTTATCAGCAATGACAAGAGGCAAATATGAAAGATGATAATAATAATACGTATTTAAAATTCTCCTAGCTTTCTCTCTTGCCACGTAATATTTAAATAAATCTTTTTAAAGGCATCCCACTTTATCTTTTTCCAATAATGCATCTGGGAATGTTTGAAGGTCTATTTGTTATTGTTCAATTCGGTCCATTTATACACTTTTTAAATCTTTGCTTAATTGTGTCAAAATAATAAATCACACATTTGCTATTATAACTGTCAGTGATAGCCCTAGTATCATGAGTAGTCTCTGTGAACACTTACCATTAGTCTTGCTCTTTACGTTAGTCACTCCAGAGCTGCCACTATTCGGAGACATGTGACAGTTCGAGAGATTGCATGTGCGGTTGCTCGCAGGGGCACATGTTATCACAGAAGGACGATTCTAAGTCACATAAAGAAGAGTACAGCACAATCATTCAGTCAGCAATGTCTTGCTGATGATTCAAGCAAAGTTTGTCAGTAACTTACTAAATCAACAAAGAAAACCATACTCACCTGCTGACGTTCTGCAGAGCCAAGTGGTGAGAGAAGATTGGACCTAGCAGTGTCCATGCTGTTTTTGGTCAACGCGAGCGGCTGCTCCATTGCAAAAACAGGAAAGGGAGCATACAGACGGTTTCCATGGAGGCCACTGATGGCAGAGGAGGCGTGCTCAAAAGCGTTGGGGCAGTGATTCCAAGGTTCTTGCCTACTATCTCCATTGGAAGGAGCTCCCCTAAAAATAAATAAATGCGAAAAAAAATTTAAATGCAAACACAGAGCCATAACTGTTCTACACTCCAATTTCAAACATGCACTAAGGGTGTAAAGACATGCATATTAATATCTTGTTTTCAGTACTAGTGTACTGTCTCACAACTTTAGAGAAAGGTGGTGGATATGGAAAAGTGGGGGATGTGCATGAGAATACTTAAAAGATAACTTCACAATTTACATAATGTAAAACAATATTTTGACACAGACAAAATGCGCTAGCATGGTCACACTTCAAAACTTCCCTTAGCAACTATAAAATTAGTGATTATTATTCAATTATTGCAGTTAGTCAGTGCTCTTTAAATAAGGACAATATTCACAATATGCCTTAAATATAAAAGAATAATATAATACAAATGAATAATGTGTATCACAATAAAATTATCAAGATAATGACAACATATTGTTGTACTGCTCACTTCTAACACAAGAGTTCTTTCTCTCGTCCTGGAAGACCAAAGGACAATTTAGCGAGTTCCTTGCTCAAATACAACCACTAAACCTGGCAATTTACATAGGAGTTTAACCAGGTGTGTCTGAGCAGGGAAATCACCAAACTGTGCTGGACCAAAGAACCTTCAATCTGCACTATGACACAAAAGCAGCAGGAATTGCTGAACAACATACTGACATTAATTGTAATGGATTTTAAACAGCCATTTCTATAAGAGACAACCACAAACTAAGAAAGGCTTAGTTTTGGGTCTTAAGTTTATTTCTGCTGAACAGATCATTGGCTTAGTAATAAATAAAAGAACTGCAATATCAGGTTTCCGTAACTGTGTGTAAGCAGGTTTGGGTGGGATTCAGGTTTAAATTTAGCAGCACCGTTCAGGCCCATTCGGCTCGAATCTCAAAGTCGTGGGTAAAAGTCAGGGTTGAGGTTCTAATTCATTCCTGTGCTGAAGAGACAACAATGTAGAGATCTTACTAATCACAGTGCACACTTACAGATGAGATGTAAGTAGGCGACTCATTTTTGCCATTTGTTCAGTGTCGTAGTCGTGGCTGTTTCCAACTTGTTCATCATCATACTTTCTTTTAACTGGACTAATCGGTGTGCCTGTCCTGCTGCTTCCCACTGAAGAGGACAAAGCGTGCATCCTGGAGTCCCCTGAATCATCTGAAAATACAAGACAATATAGTTAAGCTCACTGCTTTACAATCAGGGTTGGGATGTAATGGAATAAAACTATTGGGAATATGTAATGAGAATACAGAAATTAGGTATCTGTATTCAGTCAAACTCTAAAGAAGACCTCAATTAACAAGCTTCTTAACAAACGCTCAAGTTCCTACTAAAGCCTGAATAGTCTGACAAATTAATGTGAAGCGCCAGTTATCAATCTCAGCATTACTGAGCTCTTTTGAAAGACGATCAGATGAATAATCTTCTATGTAGTGGACATGTTTGATAAGCTTAGCATCTTTTTTGTACTGGACACCTGCTCAGAGGATTGTGGGAGCAGCAGTGGGCTGAAGCAGGTGAGGAGAGAACATTTTGGAACTTCATTTAAACGATACGCAATTTTTTTCATGAAGCAACATACAGAAGAATTACAAGAAGAAAACTGCCAACCAGTAACAGCAAAGAACAGTGTGAATGAAGTAAAACATTTTCCAATGTTTCTTACGAGGTGCATTGTAAATGTATTCTGAGGATGAAAACACAGGTAAAATGTGTGAAGATGTAAAAAAAAAAAAAAACAACAACAAAAAAAGTGTAAAGCTTGGCAGACATAAGGAACAATCTAAATGGCTATTTTGGAGTTCATGCAGGTATCTTGGACGTGTAGTTAAGAAAACAAAACAAAAAAAACGTCAAATCCCTAATCTTACCAACAACTAGACATCATATATTACTCAGACGTCCAATTTAATCTTTGAATGACACGGCTATTTACAAACAACTGACATTAGCAATAAGGTCCATACGCTCTAGTTTAAGCTAGCTAAGCTAACCATGTTTGGCTAATAACGTACTAGCGGAAACCAACCGAACATCAGCAATGAACGGTACTGAGTATATGTTTAAGTGGGTTCGTTACCATCATATGAATCGTAGTGAAGTCTTCCGATGTTGTTGTTCATTTTATCCATAAATTGGTGGCTCAAAAGGTCCATTCTCGGGAGAAGCATTTAGCTTCGGAGCTAGCCAAGCTAGCTAGCTAGCTAACCAAAGTAGTAGCTAGCTAGCTTAGCAGCGACGAAAAGTGCGAACTAGTAAAATGTTCCTTTTCGCTACAGTCGCAGTAAGTGTCTGAGCTGTTAGCAGAGTTGTTGGTGATACACTTTAACAACGAAGCAAGCTACTAAACAATATCGTTAACAAGATAGAAACGTTTAAGCTGCAGCATCGAAGCTGCATCACTAACAACAGCAAGCAGAAGTTTACAACTGCGCTAATTCGCTAACCACCGTCCGAACTTTAGTTATAGCTAACTTGCCAAACATTGACCCAGAAAACCTCAAATGTGCGCATTTGACCGCACTTTCGAACAATAAAGAGCTTTGTATTTTAAAAAGAAAAACGCCCCGTTTTCATAGTCTATGTAGTATTTTTAAACATTATCTGGACGAAACAGTCCAAATAACGTGAAAGGGCTAACTACTTTAGCATGTTAGCCTGCTAGCTCTACAGCACTGTAGGTTGGCCTGCACTGGTGACGTTCACTAACTTACAGGGAGGATTGTAAAGCGGTGCTGTGATTTAGTTTGGGAAGAAAGGCACCTGTGAGATCTGCGTGAAAAATGCATTATACTTAAATTTAGGCCATGTAAAGTATGTGTGTAACGTAACGTAATTTTATAAACAGTTATTAACCTCTCAAATTATTTTTAACACGGCGTTATCCATATTTTTTGACCTAGACCATTCTGTAGTAAAAGTGTAGCCTGAGATTTTTCAGACTGATCAGCAGGATCCCTCGTTTACCGTTTTAAAGGAGAATTCCGCAGATTTCAATCGTTGAGATGTGAACAAAATTATTCAAAATGGTTTAGTGTGAAACGCTTCAGTCTAGAGAAACAGAATCATTCAAAATTATTCACAGCAGTTCTAATAGCAACCAGACGTCTGACGTCTATAAAACCTCCCTCACAAAAAGTTAATAAATGAAATGGACATATTTAGTCTGCTTGATGTATAGGACATTGTTTTACAAAATATCAGTTCTGCTATTTGGAATGCAAAATCTTTTAAGCTTAATATGTCAAAACTGCTCACAGATAGGACTTTATAATTCCCAATAAAGGACGAAATGTAAAAATGATATGTGTTCTGAATTCTGCCTTTACAAAATGTAACTAGGACTGAATATAGATACTTTATTTCTGTATTCTGAATACATACATCAAATACTTATATTCTGTTACATCCCAGCCCTGCCTATATCTGATATCTGATATTTCATGTACTTATCAGCATATGCTGACACATAAACATTTATTAAAAAGGGACTATGTCTACTTGGATTAGCATTTCAAAGAGGACATTTAACATTATTTCTGTAGGTGTACTGATGCAGACTTTTTTTGTGCAGAAACTCAGGGTTGCTAAAAGTTCTGCTGTTCCAGAATACAATAAATACTTATTTGCTTGAATCTTAAAATCTGTCCAGTGCCGATATATTTCTGCTGATAGTGATATGATTTCAATATCATTGTGCATCCCTAATTAATACTTTTCTGCTATTGCCTTGGCATTTTTACAGACTTTTCTTGACTTACTGTGATTGATATATAGCCTTAAGCTTTTCAGTTTCAGCATATCTGATGCACACTTATTTTGGTCCTTGATTTGAAAGCAGTCTGTACAAATATAGGGGACTACATGGCCTACAGATCAGTAAATGAATGTAAAGGGCAGATTTTTTGTAGATTATTTTTCATCTGAGGTCCATTTCTGACATTTATGTGGTGTTATGTACCAAAACTGGTCCTAATTCATGGTTATTCACTACAGGACCATTTCCCAACCATTCCATGCTCTTTAGAATTAAATCAGCTGTGTTAGTTATTGTTTAAGACTGATATGCTCCGTTCTGATTGGCTGCCCTGTCATTGTGCCTCTTTCAACAAATGCCCAGAGCAAGAACACTCCTTATAATGTCAGTGTAAGTGGACGGGGCTAAACTGCTGTAGGCTGAATAGGTGGATGTTCATGTAAATGTGTTGGTTCTCCTGACATGACAGAAACAGTCAATTCAGAACGGCTGTTTTTGCAGGTCAGTTTCCGTATATGGACAGTATTTACCGTATGTATTTTAACAGTGTTTACATATTACTCACAAAAATCAGCAAGGGAAATCTGAGTTTGCATGATATGGGCCATGTACAGCTTTCCCTTCTTACAGATTACAGATCCTCCCTGTCCAGCTTTAAGTCACTCGAGGTTTGGTGTAGGAGCGAATGAACAGTCTGCTTGCCGTTCTCTTAAACACAAACACTATAATAATCCCCCGTGTGCCATTTTCTGTTCTCTTGTTGCACAGAGATGGCCAAAGGCAATGCGAATGTGCAGCTGGTAGAGAGTGCATCTATATAAAGTTGCCTCCATTTTATGCTGCATGCATGCACTGGAAACCCCCTCAGTGCTTTTATTTATTTATTTAAATGCTTTTTTTCTTTCCCCACAGCGGCAAGAAGGAGACGTGACGGTGGAGAGGCAGTAGGATGGGGGAGGGGGCAGCAGAGGAGAGAGAGGGAGCATCTCCTGCAGGCATTCGGGCTGCAGAAACTGCGCCTGATTGGCCGGCAGAAGCCTGCGACGTCAGCCTCGGCAGGCTGGGGGGAGTGGAGAGGAAACACAGCGAGGCTAGGAGGGAACCCGTACCACTCAAATGATCCACGATAAGCTCTGAGGACGCTCGGCACCTGCATCTCAAAAGCCTTCGTTGATCAGCACAGAAAAATCACTGCCTCTGTTTCTCTCAAGTCCAGCATCAGGATCCCAGCCTTCTGCTTCCTGCCTCAGCCATGAACTACCTGCGCCGGCGTCTTTCCGACAGCACCTTCATCTCCAACCTGCCCAATGGCTACTTATCGGACCTCCAGAAGCCAGACCCTCCCCAGCCGCCTCCACCCGAAGCGGGTCAGCAGGCCACCCAGCCACCCGCTGTCTCTCCGACCCCCGAGAGAAAGCCCCAGCCAACTGCCCAGTCCTCAGGGACGGGCTTCTTCAGCTCCATCACGAACGTGGTGAAGCAGACGGCAGCCTCGGCTGGGCTGGTGGAGCAGACACCTGTCCCCGTGGCCAAGAAGTTCAAAATCCTCCTTGTGATCGACGAGCCGCAGCAGGAGTGGTATGTGCGCTGATGTTGCCATTTCAATTACGTTCAATTCAATTAAGGCTGCGCGATATGGACGAGATCGCATATGGCAGTCGGCATACATAATGCATAATAATGCATACTAGCCGAATGCAGCTGCAGTACGTTCAAATCCGACTAGTGAGCCATTGATGTGGCCTGTATTATTGTGTCTACATTTGTAAAAGCATGTGAAGGCTTTGTTTCTTTAACCCCTTAAATTCCCAGGCTTGTTGCATTCTGAGGCTTATTATTCAGTAATTACAGTGCAAACTGGCTGAATTATTCTTAACCTGTAGGAATGAGAAGTGACCCACTTGGCATTTAAGGGGTTAAAACATTCACAAATTGGCCAGGATGCCTACAGCATTAAATATTTTTGTGATATGTTTTTTGTATATTGTAGACTTATGCAATTGCAATAATGACAAACACAGTATTGCAATGCCAATTAACATACAGCATAAATAAAATGTAGAAATGTAGGAAATACCTGCATTGCTGCTACAGAGAAATATGACATTTATGTCTGCACAAATGCAGTAAAATGAATAAAATATATAAAATATGTAAAATATATTTCAGCCCAGTAGCCCAGTGTCACCTACAAGCTTTTCCAGAGTGCATTATCAAATATACGTTTGTAATATCAGTCGGATCAAGACATTTGTCCAGTGCTAATCTTATCTGTGATATAATTTTAATGTGCATCCCTATTACCAAATAATATATTGTGCAGCCTTGGATGACCCACTTTTATTTTTGTATTTTATTATTCTTTTCCCTGATGTCAGATTACTTCAGGGAACACCATACATAAAATGTTTGTTGTATTATGTACCTAAAAATGTCATAATTAATTTTTATATGACAATCTTTTAACCTCTCCTTATATACACACATAAACAGGCTTTAATTCTAATTCTTTAGTTTTTGTAACTGTGCCTTTAAGATTGATATATGTAAATTCTCTCTGTTCTGATTGGCTGCCCTGTACTGTGGCCTATTCAAAAAGAAGTCCAGGCTGAAACACTCTTTCATCATGTAGTAGTTTCATTGTAAACCACTGTAGGCTGAATAAGTAGGTAAATGCATTGTTTTTTGTGACATCACAAAATAAATTCAAAATGGGCTGTTTTTGCAGCTTATTTTCCACATATGGACTGGAGAGTTAATAGTACGTTCCAAAACTTTAACAGTGTTTACAGACAATGTTACTCTTTTACTTCAAATAAGCCAGGATAATTTGTTTTCCATGAAATGGGCCCTTTAACTTTGGTCATTTATACAGCCAAGAGGGTGGCAAAAAAGTGTACATTTGACCTTTTAGCTTTGTTTCAAACACATTTACATTCAGTCATTGACGTTAAGGCTTGTGGGTAAATGCATGATCACATCTTTGAATGAATGCTATGATTTTTATTGCACGCTTCGTTCAGGCATCGGACAAAGCAGACCTGCATCCCACACTATGCATAATTATAAGCAAAGCTTACACTGCTCGCTCATAAGATAGATTTAAAGCACTCTGTAGCTAGATTGTTATTAGTGGGCTGCAAACTGATTGTTCAAAAGAGTCCTCATACTAGAATAGATTGTCATGCATGTGTGAACATTTTTATATGGCAAATTTTCCATAGTTCATATGCACAGATGTCGTACTTCATATTAAACAGACCCGAATCCACTGACCTATATTGTGTACTGCATGCAATCGTCATTCGAGCAAGTAGGCTTTTCAAGACTGGAAATACTTCAGTCATATATCTACACACTGTTCCATTTAATTAGACTCTTTAATTGATCACTTATGCTGTCACATTCTTGGTCTCAGATCTAATCCAGGAAATTCATTTATTGCAATCCTTCTCACTTTAGCATTAATGCTGTATTATCCTGGAAACATATTAATAGCAATAAACATCCTTATTTTATCCTTGAGGTCTGCTTCTCTTGTCTCAGAAACATACAGGTAACACGTGACTCAGGAAAATGGTTATTAGATCATGTAAAAGGACCCATATTCTATGTTTTTCTTGTACTTGAGGTTCATATGGTTTTATATACTGTTAGCATAATTCATAATTCGTTTTATACAATAATTTTTCAATCCAATTTTCAATCCCTAAGAATTGAACAGGCTATTTTTGTTAATATGCCTGTATGACTGATATATATCAATCATTTGTATATATCAATCATCTGTATTGTATATTGTGCCTCATTTAAAAAAGCAATCTGCGCTCTTGATAACTTCAGTGTGAATGAGCAGGGCTAAACTGCTGTAGGCTGAATAGGCAGATTTATATAAATGTGTTGGTTTTGGTGACATCACAGAAACATTTCATTTAAAGCATGCTGTTTTTGTACGGGACTGTATGGACTGAGGAGTGAGTATGTTTTGAAACTTCAGCAATGTTTATATACTGCTTCAAAATCTTTTATTTAAAAAATCAGTTTTCCATAATGTGGAAGCAAACATGCTGTGTGGGGAAAGAGTCAGAGGAAGGATTTTAACTATAGCCCTATAAATCACTACGTGTCATGAGGGTCACCACCTCGTAATTACGCAGATGGATAACTTTGTACAGTGTGCACTCTTACTAATCACAGTGCTTTGTTTTCCTGATTTTCTTGGATTCAGCCTAGCAGGATAATATCAGCAGTAAATGGATCAGCAGAGGAGCTGATGTCATGTGGAGTGAAAGTGATGTGGGCTAATGGTGTTGGTGTTGTGTAAACAGGTACTTTCATACACATACAGTTGTGTGCAAAAGTTTAAAATGACATCTTTTGTTTATTTTCTAACTAAAACACATACATATGGCATGTTTTTTGCTATTGCACAATTTCTGTTTATTAGCTTAAATTAACACATTGGGGAAAAAAATTAAACAAAATATGAAATTTTTATAAAATTAACTTTTGCACACATTTTGTGTTTGATTAGTCCTTAAATAAACAATAATTGTGCATTAAAATGTGTTGTCTGTAGAAAAACGTTAACTTATTTTCACTTAGGAAATCGAAAGTTCAAAATTTTATACATAAATGTGGGCATTTTGTGAAATGTTCTAGCAGTTTGGCTTCAAGCAGCAGAGAGAATACAAATTAAAATTTTGCAATTTTGTAAAAATTAGGGATGCACAATGATATTGCATAATATTTGGCAGATATTTGCATAAAATAAAAAATAACTCTCTACACTGGACAGATGTTTAGCTTTGACCGATATTCCAAACTTATTTTTAATGACGTATGTATTACACTCTGGAAAAGCAGGCTGTATAGGTGATGCTGGGTTAGTGAGTCAAAATACCTACATTTTATTCATTATATTGCATTTGTAACCTGACAGAAATAAATGTTACATTTGTCTGTAAAGCTGATCCATATAAATCTAGTTCAAATTTCAAAATTATTTTATAAATATTTTTGTCTTAGTTTTGGCACTGGCAGATTTGTGCATGAAATATATTTGGCTCACAATTTCCCATATTGGTGCATTCCTATTAAAAATACAGAAAAGTGTTATGTAATGTCACGGAAAAAAGTCATTTATGCCTATTTAGCCTAGCCACACCCATTCACACTGAAGTTATAAGATGTCCTCCAGCCAAGGCAGGTTTTTTAAAAGAGGCACAATATAGGGCAGCCAATCAGAACAAAGATCATTTACATATATCAGTCTTAAAGGCACAGTAACAAAAACAGCCTGTTTAAAGTGCACCTCAAGGAAAAAGCTAAAATACAAGAAAAATATGGACCCTTTAAGGGACAAAATGTTGAATATAGCCCCTCTTCCCAGTTACATCACTCTCAGTCCTTGGCTTTCCCATATTTCCCATATTCTGCTTTCTGGTGGAGTCCCTCAGGTCTCAGGCTGTGATCGCTGTAGGATTCCCCAGAGACGTGCTGCTGCTAGAGGGGGGTTCACATTTCACATGCATCGGTAATATAAAGGAGAGTGCTGCATCGTGTTCTCACGTTTACACATCACTTGAGATTTGACACGCTGTATAGTGCATGTAGGAATCCCCACTGATATCTCCCTTTACTCTTCATGTGAAATCATCAGTGCCATACATTCTCTGTAGATGATTTAAAGGACATGTTTTCAGAAATGCTGCGATGTCACAGACCTTTGTCTTTATAGACAGTATAGGCTGCATCTAGGCTAAAGATTTTTTTCAAAGATGAAGGGCAAAATGAAATATTGATGAGGATGGATCTCACAATCCATATTCCTTTGAATCAATCCATCAGAAACTAAAAGGACTTGACAGTGACGCAGTGGTTTGTTTAAATGGCTATTTTTCATGATGCAGATGGGTCCGTATGTTCTCGTTTGTTCATAAAACTCTAACTATAACTAAATATTTAAGAAATTACTGTCTGCAATAGAGGGCGGCACGGTGGCGCAGTGGGTAGCGCTGTCGCCTCACAGCTGGGTTCGATTCCCAGCTGGGTGACCAGGGTCGTTTCTGTGTGGAGTTTGCCTGTTCTCCCCGTGTCTGCGTGGGTTTCCTCCGGGTACTCCGGTTTCCTCTCACAGTCCAAAAACATGCAGTCAGGCTGATTGGACATGCTGAATTGCCCCTAGGTGTGAGTGAGTGTGTGACTGTGTATGTCTGTCTGTCTGCCCTGCGATGGACTGGCGACCTGTCCAGGGTGTATCCTGCCTTCCGCCCAATGACAGCTGGGATAGGCTCCAGCACCCCACCGCGACCCAGAAGGATAAGCGGTTTAGATGATGTATGTATGTCTGCAATAGATTATTTATGGTTCCTTGATAATCATTAAGTGGTACTGTAGGAAAAAAAACACAGTATGTGTCACAAAATACCATAATACAGTTGTATGTAAAAGAATGCAAAAGTTTAAATACCCCCAGTCAAATTAAAATATACAATGTACCATAACTTTTGCACAGGCCACAATTTATGTTTTTTAATATGTTAAACTCAGCAAATAAATAGCAATTGTGCATTAAA